AAATGATAGTTGTAGGAAGTACAAATGGAAAATGTATTAAAAATGTAGAAAAAAAGAATGTACTAATGATTTGCTATTGTCAATTGACGGATGAAATATTAATGGATATACCAAAATCTATTCGAGTATATTCAACCAGAGTTTTTATACCAGAAACAAACAATGAAAGCAATGTTAAACATATTAGATCTTCACATGAATTATTGTTTTCAAATATAAAACCTATATATCAACAACCATTTAAGGGCACTGTTGATGTTAAAATCAATATAAACGATATAAATAACGAAGAAAATAGAAAGAAAGTTCACCAAATTATTAATGATCTTTATGCTAATTCTCTTACAATTTATGATAACAGAAACGGACTGTTTGGACAATGTAATGAATTAATAGTATTTGAAACATCACAATTACCTGAATCTATCAAATATATTTCTTTTAGTTTATCGGATTCAAAATTAATAATGAATAACAAACATATTGAGTGTGTAGAAATGCATGGACAAGGATCTTCACTTGAACTTCAATCAATAAATAATTTAAAACAGTTAATAATAAATGGGGTTAATGAAATAAAGATGAATGAAAAGAATGAAGAACTGGGAATTACAACAACTAATAAAAGAAGATATTGGAAAGAAATACAAGAAAATATCTACACATTCCAAAATCTTGAATTACTTCGATTGAACTATTGCTCTAATTTAAATATTAGTTTAATATCAAATAAATTAAAGAGTATTGAAGTAATCAATTGTAGAGAATGTAAAATTAATATTAAATCAGATTGTATTGAAAGATTGAAATTAGAAAGAAATAAACAAACACAAATCAAATTATCAACAAATAAATCAAATAATATTTGCATTAGAGAATGTGAAAATTTCAAATTTGAAATAGAATCTAATAATGAACAAAATATTGAAATATTAGAAGGAAAACAGATTAATGTAAAATCAAAATGTCCAATCAATAAACTGATAGTATCACAATCTAAACAAGTGAATATTACAGGAAATGAAAAATGTAATACAATGAAAGTTATTGAATCTACAATCAATGAAATTGATGTTAAACCAAAGAAAATTATATTTAAATCAATTGAAGAATACATTAAAGTACCTCTGAAAGAAGCAGAAGAGATATATATTGTATCAATGAAAGATTATATCTTTGAAGAATTATTTGATAAATGTAAGAAATTATGTATTGATGAATGTAAGAATTGTCAATTCATAATCAACAAGAATCAAATCAAAGAAATGAAAATAACAAAATGTAAAAATACAGAAATCACAGGGAAGTTAGATAATATTGAAGAAATCATCACAATAGATAATGAAGAATGTAATATTCCAGAAACAAAGAATGTTATAAAAGAAGATACAGAAATAATAGAAATGGATAATACAAATAAAGATATAGAAATAGAAACAGATAAGAAATATGTTATAATAAGAAATATTCATGATCG